TTTTTTGTAGGGTCAAACCAGCATTCATTTTCAACTGTAATGACCACAAAATTGTAGCAGGATGGGAAAATGTTCTCAAACAAACAAAATTCTAACTGAATGTAGTTTTTCTTGGGTAGAAATCATACAAAAAATTCATATTGAAATGAAACCTGTTTAATATGACTGGGATTTCATTCAAATAGCAGATCTGGACAAAATATTAGGGGAGTTTGAACAAAATTAGCTGACTGAATAATGGCAAGAAAATACATTCTAAGAATTTTCTGACAAGAATTTTCATATGAGTATTTCTACTAAAATTCTTTCTAGTGTCTGGCCAGCTTAAAGTGGTTGTAAGCCTCAGGTGTGAAATATGAACAAAGCATATGCCTCCAGTGTGTGCTTGTCTCAATCCTGAGTGCTAAGTGTAATTTATGTATGCTGCCTCATTCCTCTGCAATCATCATAAGTCACTCATTATGAGTTTTCCTAGACACCAAGAGAAAAATGGTGACAGCGGAGGGCACGACCTGTGATTGACAGCTTCAGCTCTGTTCTTGTGTTCTGTGTGAAGGGGGGTATGTTGCTTCCCTCCAATCAGCTCTCAGAGTTTTCTTTATGGATGTAACTTCAGCTCCCCGCCCCCTGCTTTTTAGAGCCGAGAGAGTCTATAGACATTCTGCACTTTGAATGGGGACAGATGGGGTACAGATAGACAGGTACAACTTATGTAGAAGGATTTTTTTCATCTCTGTGTATCACCCAAGGCCAGTCACTTCACTGTGTACAGGTAAGGGTTTACAACCACTTTAAATATGACTATCCCCAGAGTACATAACTAATTCCACAAAAATTCATAGAAGAATTTTTTTTTTTATATATTAATGCACACTGATAGGCAGATCCCTATCACATGTTTATCTGAAAAAAAAGTGCTGTGACATGTTTTTCAAGTCAATTTGGTATAAGGTGATTTCCTTCACACTATAATTCCACAAGCAGTAATTAGTGCTGGGCTGTATTGCATTAAATGCTGACACTGACAATTACCAGTGAAGGAACACTACGGGAAGTAAAAGGTTTGATGACGCTATTTATTGTGTAATCTCCCATAAAGAAGGCGTGTTGTATCATTTGCATCACGCTGGGTACTTTTTAGAGAGTCAAAATGCAGGACAACAATTTTACCAACTGCTACTTTTAATGATGACTCAGAAGGTTAAGTGACTAACATTACCTATTGACAGAGGTATAATTTGAGGAAATGAACAATTGATTCTTAGATAATACTCATAGGAATTTCAGCAGCGTTCTATTTCTTAACATATGCATATATAAATAAAACCATAAATCTTGTGACCTTTCCTTCTCCTTGTGTGGTGCTGAAATGTAAAATCTGGAAAACTAGAAAAAGAGGTGGTTTAGCTGAGGGGTAAAAAAAAAGGGTACCAAATGAAAGATGAACTGAACTCTAGAAGCCACCTCCCTTGAAAAGGCACGCGGGGAAAGAACTAATCACTATTACTGCCTATATGGCAGCAATGGGCAAACTACGGCCCGGTGGACCTTTTAATCCGGCCCGTGGAGCGTGTGTAGGCGGGGCATGTGTGTAGGCGGGGTAGCGTGATGAACGGGAGGGGAGCTAGGCTCCTCTCACAGTCCGCCCTGAAGACCGGAACGGCGCGGGAACTCGGCGAGAGGAAACAGAGGGGACTTGGCTTACTACTTGGGGGGGGAATAGTACTGTGGGGGGATGAAATACTATATGGGGGAATGAATTACTATATGGGGGAATGAATTACTATATGGGGGATGAAATACTATGGGGGATGATGGGGGATGAAATACTAATATGGGGATGCATTAATGAATGAATTACTATATGGGGGATTAATTACTATGCTTACTATGGGGGAATATGGCATGGCATGGTAGTATTTAAATTAATCTAAACATTTAATGTTACAAATTTTAATTTAATTTATATTCACACATACACATCATTCATCTACTCTTGGTCCGGCCCCCGGGTCCAATATATTAACCCATTGCAGCCCTCAAGTCAAAAAGTTTGCCCACCCCTGGCCTATGGTCTCCCTGCAGCTGCTTCTGCACTGCTTCTTTCCGTGAAGGAAGCAATCTTGGTAGAGGTAGTGTCTTGCTTCCTCATGTCTGAGCCTCCAGCAAGGAGAAGAGTCAACAGCACAATAACATCACGAAATCTCACTCCAAACCCCCAAGATCAGCAGTCAGAGGCAGCAGTGCCTTAGATTTCAGAATTCAGATATACAGCTATGAGTCTGTGGGTACAAGTGCGTAAGCATCCTCACATACCAGGGCCAGTACTGGTACATTTCAGGAGGAATTCCAGGCAAAAGGTTTCAGGGTACTATGTACTGTAGGCATTTCTGGATGTTCCCCATAATACAAAATATCTTCGCTATCTAAGCTCTGGTTTCAATTTAAGAAGTTTCCAGCCATTTGAAGTTTTAGGAAGAACATCACCATGAGTAATTTTATAGCAGTGACTTTTAGGAGCTTTATCATTACTATTAAAATACTTTTGTTGCCACATTTTTTTAAATGAAGAGCCACGCTGGTGTTGAGGGGGATATACACAGAGAATGGTAATGTTGCACTATTTCCCATAGTTCTTCCTCCTCCTCTTCCTTCATTGTAAGAAGAGGAGAGCTCACAGAACATTACAGTGCTTATATCAGGCAATCACTGTAAAACCCAATCACAGTGATCACATGGTACAGAGCTGCTTGGATCAATGACATTTAAAATAGCTTTTTACAATACGATGGTAGTAAGTTGCTTAAATTACAGTCAATGAAAGGTCAGCGGCATAGCAGCACTGGCAATTTGTAGTGCAGTGGCTGAGTCCTTGAGTTTTCACTACATTTGAAGCTAGTTACAGAGTCACCAGCTTCAGTAAGGCAGCCCATATATTAGTAATTTTTTTTCATTCAACCAGCAGGCTGAATGGAAAATAAAATTACCACATTCCCCCATCCACACAATTGAGGTGGATTGGGGCATCCTTTCTCTGAGTTATTGTATTCTAACAGTAGGGAGACTTCACTGCCATCAGAATACAATGATCAGTGTTGCCGGCTGTAACTGGTGGCAATGTCCAATTAAGGAAAACCGGACAGCCTTAGTGGTTGTACAGAAGTTGATTGATAGATCCACTTCTGTATAACAACTGTCCCCATACATGAATCAAATTTTCTATCCATGTTTTATTTTATCCAATGTAATGATCAGTTTACCTGCAGTTTGTAGTGGCATAGAGATGATTTAAGCTAGCTGCAAATAACCAGAAAAACACATTTTTCAAACAGCTCCAACAAAGTTGCTGGTGTGACATGGTCTGTCACATATTAGAAATATTAGAAATCTGTACACAAAGATTCACTGACTAATTTGCAACATTTGTGGCTACTTTGAAAATGAGATCCATGTGTGAAAAGGCAAAGCTCATGTCATCAGGAAATGAGTTCTGTGGTTGTTTGTTCAAGTGTTTTTATACTATCCCCACTGCCTCCTGTGTCGTTATCGTCCCATATTTAACATGTACAGTATATAAAGTTTTCCATCTTAAAATGGAATTAAAAAGAGGTCACATAACCATTCTTGATCCTGATTTTGATCTACACTGGGCTGTGGGAGGCATCAGTTGGTGTCAGTGTATCCCTACGTTAACACCCATTCAACAGCGATTGACAACATGCCGATTTAAACTAATTATTATTATAATACAGAACTTATAGAGCGCCAACAGTTTGCACAGTGCTTTACAATATAAAGGGAGACAGTACCATTACAATACAATAAAATACAGAAGGGTTAAGAAGGCCATGCTCACAAGAGCTTACAATCTTATAGTGTTAACTAAATGTGAACAGTAGAAGACTGTAAACCAAATATGGTGTGTTACATGGGCTTGCAGTCCAGAACACACTGCACAGACACTAGCATGATCTCCCCTTTCATACCTCTTACTATTCCTGCATAAGTCAAAAATTTAGCACACAATGGTGGTCTCCAAACTATGGCCCAAGGGCCAGGTGTGGCCTTTTGCATGCTTTTATCTGGCCCCTGGGGCAGTATTTAATCCACTGATACCAACAATGGGACATCATTCCCTCCACTGGCAGCAATGATGGGGGACAATTCTTCCCAATGACACCAATAATGGGGTACAATTCTTCACAATGACACCAACAATGGGGCACCATTCCTCCCACTGATACCAAAGAAGGAGCATGGTTTATTCCCACTGACATTGGGACCTTTTCTACTCCCAATGGGCATGGTCCGACCCCCCTGAAGTCTGAAGGACAGTAAACTGGCCCGTTGTTTAGCGTTTAGAGACCCCTGACTTAATACAATAAGGAACACAGCAACTTAGCTGTACTCATTGAGAAACAACACTGCAGTCACACAACATACTGTTCAGTTCTTGTTTCCTAGGTAGGATTCCACGTACATGTGGGGCATGCTCTGTAGAAACTCATTCTCATCAAGTTGTGTGCACCACATAGGACACAGTAGCTGTGATAAAGCACAAGGGGTGTGTCAAAGACAATCAGAGGGTCTTGTGGGAGACAGGGTGTCAGCAGACAGGAAGTATGCCAGATGAAATGCCCTTCAGTTAAAATTTGGAGGCACAGAGTGGAGAGAAAAAGGTGAGAAATGGCAGCACAACACAGCTTTCCACCAAGTACCAAGGCAGAAGCAGATGAGACTGAAACAGGTGAGCCTGGATTTCTAAGTACAAAGCTCTGTTATACTGGAGCATGCATGTGTTACCAAAATAAGATTAGGCAGCTGTAATACTCATCGTGATCTCTCTTCTCTTATCTATAGGGCAAGAGCTGTTCTCAGACTTAATAAATAAATCTTAACAAAGGATAAATATAAAAAAGTAAGATTAACTGCTTCCTGACCGCCCTATAGCAGAAGTTCTGCTACAGGGCATCAGGGATACGCAAAATCATGTATATATACTACCCGCGCCGCTATTGGCTCCTCAGCATGTCAATCACCGGGTCCCAGACACCAATTCTTGGCCAGGACTCCGTGATTGTTGGCGGAGCTGACGGGAGAGGTCTGTATGTAAACAACACAGATCTCTCTCCTGTCAGCACCAACAGGCTGCTTTGTATTGCTCTGCACAGCACAGCAGAGCAATTCAAAGCAGCTTGTCTCCCTAGTAAATCACGCACAGCACACTATGTAAAACACACAGCACACAGTTAGCCCTTTGATCGTCCCAGATGTTAACCTCTTCCTGCCCAGTGTCATTAGTACAGTGTCTGTGCTTTTTATTAGCACTGATCACTGTATTAGTGTCATTGGGATGTCAGTGGCAGTTAGTTCCCACCCAGTGTCAGAATGCCCACCACAGTCCCGCAATAATTCGCTGATCGCTGCCATTACTAGTATAAAAAAAAAAAATTCCAGTATATACAGGTGAAACTCGAAAAATTAGAATATCATGCAAAAGTTCATTTATTTCAGTAATGCAACTTAAAAGGTGAAACTAATATATGAGACTCGTTACATGCAAAGCAAGATAGTTCAAGCCGTGATTTGTCATAATTGTGATGATTATGGCTTACAGCTCATGAAAACCCCAAATTCACAATCTCAGAAAATTAGAATATTGTGAAAAGGTGCAATATTCTAGGCTCAAAGTGTCCCACTCTAATCAGCTAATTAAGTCATAACACCTGCAAAGGGTTCCTGAGCCTTTAAATGGTCTCTCTGTCTGGTTCAGTAGGAATCACAATCATGGGAAAGACTGCTGACCTGACAGTTGTGCAGAAAACTATCCTTGACACCCTCCATAAGGAGGGAAAGTCTCAAAAGGTAATTGCAAAAGAAGTTGGATGTTCCCAAAGTGCTGTATCAAAGCACATTAATAGAAAGTTATGTGGAAGGGAAAAGTGTAGAAGAAAAAGGTGCACAAGCAGCAGGGATGACTGCAGCCTGGAGAGGATTGTCAGGAAAAGGCCATTTAAAAAGTGTTGGGGACTTTCACAAGGAGTGGACTGAGGCTGGAGTCAGTGCATCAAGAGCCACCACACACAGACGGATCCAGGACATGGGCTTCAAATGTCGTATTCCTCTTGTCAAGCCGATTGATTGCATATAATATTCTAATTTTCTGAGATTGTGGATTTGGGGTTTTCATGAGCTGTAAGCCATAATCATCACAATTATGACAAATCATGGTTTGAACTATCTTGCTTTGCATGTAATGAGTCTATCTCATATATTAGTTTCACCTTTTAAGTTGCATTACTGAAATAAATGGACTTTTCCACGATATTCTAATTTTTTCGAGTTTCACCTGTATACTGCCATTTGTAGACGCTATAACTTTCACGTAAACAAAATAATTTACATGTACTGGGATTTTCTTTAGCAAAGACATGTAGCAGAATACATTTTTGGCATGAATTTATGAAGAAATTTTATTTAAAATTTTTTTTACTGGATATGTTTTATAGCAAAAAGTAAAAAATATTGTTATTTTTTTCAAAATTGTCGGTCCTTTTTTATTTATAGTGCAAAAAATAAAAAACTCACAGGTAGCTCAAATACCACCAAAAGAAAGCTCTATTTGTCAGAAAAGAAGGACATAAATTTAATTTATGTACAACATTGCATGACTGCGCAATTGTCAGTTAAATTAACGCAGCGCCATATAGCAAACAATGGCCTAGCCAGGAAGGGGGGTAAATCCTCAGGAGGGCAAGTGGTTAAGCCTGACTTTACACATATGTGTTAAGCTAACCTGTAGCAAAATACTTGTTAAGGCAACATGCAGTAACACATAACATTTTGTTTAGTGCTTTAATGTGTATCTAAGCCCAAATGCAAAAATGTAATTTATTGCAGCTTACTAGTCCTTAAATATGTTGGATGCATTAGTTTTCATTTTTAGGCCAACCATAGATGGATCGAAACTTCAGCAGGGATTGGCTGAGATTTCACCCATCTTTGGGCAGGCTGATTGTACCCAAGTCAATTCATTGATCGGCTTAGGTATAACCAGCATGTCTGAATTTTAGCATATGATTACTCCCTGTGACTATAGCCGCTAGCAGTAATCGTTGTGTTCTGCCAGTCAGGAAGGCTCTCCATGCCCCCCCCCCCTTCCGGCCAAAAACACAATAGGGTTGTGAAAGGGAACACTGAGACTGTGTTACTGAGGGAATCAAGCAATTTTCCACAGGTGGAAGAAAAGAAAATCAATTCAGCTATGGCTTGCCTTAGACTAAGAACATTTTTAGTAAGTACAGATAATACCTGTTGATCTTGCCAGAAATGCTGTGTCATTGTCATTCCTTTGAGCTGAAAAGAAAGTGTAAACATTCTTATCTTTATTGTGTAATCTATTAGTCCCATCAGTCTGCCATGTCATAGAGATGAACACAGGCAGCCTGTTTGAAGTCCAGCCAGGTGACAACAATGGATGCAACTATAGATACAGTGGATACAAAAAGTGTGGACATAAAGTATGTTATTCACAGGACTACCAGGTGAAAATAAAGTGTATGAGCCTGCAAAAATAAAACTAATGCACACACCTTATCTAAGGACCGGTAAGCTACAAATGATTAATTTTTTTTTTTTCCTTTGTCAAAGCCTATAGCAGGAATCTGGGCTACAGAGACAAAGCTTCTTCCAGTACCTGTGGCATGCCTTGCTGACACATTGGAAGTTTTAATGTGTTAAATGGTTAGCACTTCCGCCTGGCAGTACTAGGGTCGTTGGTTTGAATCCCAACCACGGCACCACCTGCCTGGAGTTTGCATGTTCTCCCTGTGCCTGCGTGGGTTTCCTCCGGGTACTCTGGTTTCCTCCCACACTCCAAAGACATGCTATTAGGTTAATTGGCTCCTGTCTAAATTGGCCCTAGTATGTGTATGTATGAATGTGAGTTAGGGACCTTAGATTGTACGCGCCTTGAGGGTTAGGGACTGATGTGAATGTACAATATATATGAAAAGCGCTGCGTAAATTGACAGCGCTATATAAGTACCTGAAATAAAATAACATAAAAAATAAAATAAAAATGTGTTGAGACTCTTATGCTTACACATAGTCATTATTGAGCCTAAACATTGAGTCTTATTTCTTCAGCCTATAGAACCCTGTTATCCCTATATTTGTGTGCACACTGATCAGTTTTACTTTCATCTAGGAAAGGCTGGGAATTGGATGTGGGTTCACTGGAGAAGGATTTTCACATTACATCCCACAAATATTGTACTGTATCAGTGTAGCTGTGGGGAGGCTTTGCTATGTGTTAGCTGTAAGACAGAACTAGGTACCATGATACATATGTTCTGGAGGTGCCCCCAGTTATTCATATATTGAAGAGATATTATTGATATCAATAAAATGATTGTAAAGGCTCACGTGTTTTTTTGGTTTTTATTTAACATATGAGCAGTCTCAAACCTCCTCTTTTGAGGTCTACCGCTGGTGCTCTTGGCTCCTCACCTTCTCCATGTTCTCCATAGCAAGCCAGTTGAGCCAGTCTGTGTACATCTATAGCAGTGTTTCTCAACCTTGTTTCAGTCTAGGCACCCTTTAAAATTATGGACAGTCCTGAGGCACCCTTTCAAATTATGGACAGTCCCGAGGCACCCCATTCTAAAATGTGAAAAACTATTCTAATAGTTTTATATAATGCAGCAACGTCCACACATGTAGGACACCCATTAGAGGTGATTTATTCTTCCAAAGCACATTTTTGCACACTGGTACTGAGTAGTATTTCAATGTTTCTCTTCTCCCTCAGTTTTTCTCCATCAGCTAATGTGACCCCAGCACTGACGAAGAGTGGCAGTAGAGGGTCAAACTAGGATGCTGTGCAGGCAGCTAACATCCTCCTTATCAACTGATGATGTCATTGGTTGTCAGGACGCTGGTGGCTAGAAGGTCGTAATGGTGCACAATGAAAACCTGTGGCTTTGTGTAACTAAAAGGCAGGCTTGTTCCACCCACTGGCTTGTGTACAAGTTTTGGGCAGTTTTTAGAGATTTAGCCAAGGCACCCCTGAAGAAACCTTTAAGGCACCCTGGCTGAGAGAGGCTGATCTATAGACACACACAGCTTAGCTTTGCCCTGCCCTTTCCGCTGCCCCCTGCTCCGTCCTCACAGGACTTGACTGACAACCTTATCCTGGGCTTATTAGATTAAGAAAATTATGCTACCTATATGTACAGCATGGTAGGATTTCTTGTATGCTTTTCATTGCGAGAAAACTTATAGGCCAAAAAAGGATTTCTTCTGCCACTCCCATTTTTACTTTATTGAAACAGTCTGCTAAGGTTCACCAATGAGAAAACTGTGAATATCAGCACATAGGGTACCAAAAAATAAACTTGTGAAACAAGGAGAACTATGGTTGGAGACATTGGCCCTGGGACATACACAGCCCATCTTATATGGGCTCTTGAGCTAGATAAACCTGAAAATACCCTACTAGTTTAATAATCCAAGGTCGATAATATTAAACTGTTTGCAGTGTTGGCATTGCAAGACATTTTTACTGAGATTTAAGACAAATAATACTCTTGCAACATTTTCTGTGAACCTGTGACCAGATTGTTATTGATGGAAAATTCTGTTGAAGAATATAACAAATATGTAGAATCTTATCTATTCATAGTTGTTATCATGGATTGTGGTATTGCACAACATTTAATTGTACTTTTTAAACCTGTGAAACTTCATTAAATATTACCTGATTTTTAAAAAAGTTTGATTTTGTGTTTAAACATGCTTTAACATAATACAACACCATGGTTTGAAGGCAGCCTATATGTCCAGATCTTTAGATAAGCCAGACTGTGGTGGGTTTACATAGAATTTATTGGGATTTTCAAGGTATTACAAAGAAGTTGTAAACAGACAACCGTAATACAGTCCAAATAAACAATTGTATAAATAAAGGCATGCAAAAATATTATTCACAATATTGTAGCAAGGAACATCAGCTAGGATGAGTCATATAAAACTACAAACTTGGCAGAAAAGAGATGCTTTGGTTTGTCACTTGCAGTGGATTATCTGAAAAAGGAGGATGCTCTTCGATAACTATTAAAAAAATGCCTAATAGGCATTTTATAGAAATTAAATCTATCCCCTCTTGCCGCCTCCAAAGCAAGAGAGGTGGGCTGGGTAGAGAGAGGTGGGTATACCCACCTCCACTTGGAGGTCTGATGTAAAGTCAAAGACAAGGAGAGGGAAAAAACTTGCCTGGGAAGATAGAAAGGAGAAAATGGAGGGCTTAGAGAGAAGGGACCGTCGTTATTCAACAAGGAAGGCCACATAAGACTGTGGTGAGTTTTATT